CTTATTAATGTTTTTCGATTCGTCTAAGGCTCTCCAGGACCCGTATTTGGCTTCTATTACTTCCTTCCATAATCCTTTTGACTCGACACCTAACCTCCATTTCCATTTTGCTAGCCGGGACCTGTTCATCTTCTGAATGTTCTTCACCCCTAACCCACCCTCTTCCTTTCTTCTACATATTTTTTGCCATTTTACCCACGCTATCTTTTTCCCTTCTTTGCCCCAGCCCCACACAAACTCCCTTTGAAGTTTTGTTATCCCTTGTATCACTCTAACAAGCATTTTGAACATGGATACATAAAACAGTGGTACCGCCAAAAGAAACGATTTCACCAAACATACCCTCCCAGCAAAGGAGAGCATACACCCTCTCCACCTAGAGAGTCTTTTCTTTACTTTACTTATGACTTCGTCCCAAAACTCATGCATTTTATGGTTCCCTCCAACTTTCAACCCCAGATATCTAAATGGCAATAACATTGTCTTACAACCTAATTCTCATGCAAAACTTTCCAGTAATACAGACTCCACCCCTATTCCTCCTAATTTTGTCTTTCTCATATTAACCTTCAATCCCGATGCTAACTGGAAGCATCTCAATATCGTCTTAATTACCGTAATGTTATTTGGATTTATATCGCTGAAAAATAGAGTGTCGTCTGCAAATTGTAGAAGACTGACCTGAAGCTCCTTTCCCCCCACCCTGGCTCCTTGTAGCATCCCTTTTGCTACTGCTTGCCTAACCACCCCAGCTAGCCCTTCACCTACCACTAAGAAAAGGAACGGGGCCAAAGGGTCTCCCTATCTTAATCCTTTTTGGGGGAGAAACTCTTTTGTTGGGCTGCCATTCACCAGAACTGATATGGAGGCAGATTTTAAACAACCTTTAATCCACCTCACCCATTTCCTGCAGAACCCTAGTTTCTCTAACATATAGAAGAGAAATTCCCAATCCACGGAGTCATAGGCTTTTTCATAGTCTATCTTGAGTACAAACCTTTCTTCCTTTTGCTCTTATACTCATGTATGACTTCGTTTGCTACCACAACGCTATCCAGGAGACCCCTCCCTTCTAGGAAAGCGGACTGGGAAGCACTAATTATCTTATTTAGCAGGCCTTTCAATCGCCCTACTAATACCTTTGCTAGTATCTTATACAGGCTGTCTATCAGAGATATTGGTCTATATTCATCCAAGTCCACCGGGATTTCTACTTTTGGAATTAGTGCAATGAACGAGGCATTACATCCTTTTGGAATATTACCCTCCCTCTGAAATTCTTCAATAGCTTTTAGTATGTCCACCTTCAGTGTAGACCAGTTATGTTTTATAAAGAAGAAATTAAAACCATCAGGTCCAGGACTTTTACTGCCTTCATAACTCCAAACTGCCTCCTTTATCTCTTCCTCTGATATTTCTCTAACCAGAGCCTCATTTTGTACATCTGTTATTCCTTCAAACGAGATCCCTTCTAATTTGACTCCCAAACTTGTTTCTCGGTTGAATCTTCTTTTAAAATGTTCCATAACCTCATCTTTTACTCTTACCGGGTCCTGACACCAAGCCCCTCTAATCATCATCCCCGGTAGTTCTACCTTGCTTCTTTTCCAACTAATCAAAGAATGGAAAAATTTTGAGTTTATATCCCCTTCCTTTATCCACTTGTCTCTTATCTTCTGTTTCTCCATAGATGCACTCTTTAACATTATTTTTCTCAATTCTGTTTGGTATAACCATCTTTCCTTCTTACCTTCTTCATCCAACTGATCTATTTCATCTTTATGGTCCAACTCACTAATCTTGTTTATCAAGCTTTGTTTTGCCAAATTCAAGTCCCCAAACGATTCTCTATTCCATCTTTTCAAATGATTTTTAAGCATTTGAAGCTTCTTGGCCCAGCTTTTAATTCCGCCGCCTATGAATTCCATTCCTTCCCAAGCCCCTTTTATCTCCTCCCTAAACCTCTTTTCTTCTTTCCATACATCCAAAAATCTAAAGGGTTTTGGTCCCCAATCTATATTATTTTCTTTTATTACTAGCGCACAATGATTTGAGATGCTTCTATCCAGTACATACTGTTTGCTCCCTTTCCATTCATGGATCCACTCCATAGATACCAGAGTTCTATCCAACCTACTCATTGAAGATCCGTCAGTTCTATACCATGTAAATTTTCTTACAATAGCCGGTAGTTCCCGAGCCTCTAGGTTCTGGATAAAATCATTAAATCTTTGCATTTCTTCTGTTACTCTGCCTCTTATACTACTTCCTTTTCTCTCTTCAGGTAATTTGACGGTGTTGAAATCTCCTATTACACAAAACACCTTACACGACAGATTTTGGACACTCATATGTATGTCTTCCCACAACTTGTATTTTTCCTTCATTACGCAAGAGGAGTAAACATTTACCACTGCCAGTTTTATATTCTTTTTCTTATAGATACCCGCTATTGCTATTAATCCTTCTCCTATAATCATGTTTACGCACTCAAACTTATTTGCATCCCATGTGCTTAAAATCCCTCCTGACCCATTTTCTGCCTGTTTGAAAGCCCATTGAATATTATTGTGGTTCCATATTTTATAACATACACTCTCATCCTGTCTAGCTAGTTTCGTCTCTTGTATACACACCATTTCTACCCCTTCCTTATTTATTACTTCCCTAATATATTTGATTTTCCCAGGGCTCCTAATACCTCTGACATTTAAGCTTAATATCCTCACGTGTCACTATCTCTCCCCTCTTCATCTATCTCCTTCAGTTTCATTACCATCAAGTTGTTATCCCCTTCGTACGAGAACCCCAACTCTCTCCCTATCTCCCATAATCTAACTGCCTCCTGATACTCTTTATTTAACCAGAACAACCTATTGCAGTTTACTATATTACTATCATTTATGGAGTTACCAGAAAAGAAATCTAACCTCTTCTCCTTGCGCAGAATTTTGGCCGAAACACCAGGACTGGATCAGCTGTCGTTGCTTGTTTCCCCTCCTCCATTAGTCATTAAGGCTTCCTTTTGTAACTCGATACCTTTCCGAGCCACTGCTTGATTTGATTCCACCGCTTCGCAATCTGTAGGCTTACGAATGGTTCCTTCTACACCAGTTGATAGGCATTTTGTGCCCAGTGTCTTTCCTCCGATGCCCTGGTTTCCCAGCGTCTCCTTAGCGTCCTTGACGGTTGAATTACTGACCGTCTCTAGGTCGAAACGTCTTGCTTCGAATTTTGAGCAGTGAGACTGAGAGCCAGCCTTGATTTGAATCCCCGTCGCCTTTGCCCTTTGCTTCTATTCGCCATCGTGATTTAACTCCCTTCCCTCTGCGACAAAGCTAGCATATGCTTGATTCAACCCTTGCTCCTCCAGCACACAATTGATGACGGATACATACGAGACACCAAGCCTCCCTTGCCTAACGAAAAGACCTCCCGATTTTGGTCCTTCGCGAGGTTTCTCAATGTCTCAGGCCTTTTTTCGAACTGTTCGCAGCTAGCCAAGTCTAAACTGCTAGTATGTTCGATCAGCGAGGGTTCCTTGTTTTGCAGAAAGTGGGCCAACATCTGCTCTTCAAGTGAAGGCCCAAAAATTTCCTTCTCGAAGTGGGCCATCAGTTTCTCTTCAGGTGAAGGCCCGAACCTTTCCTTCTCAAACGGATTTAGAGTTGCCTTTACCCCGCTTACGTTTGATCCCATATCTTTTTCCTCAGTGTATTTGCTTTTGCTGACTCTTTCTGACACACCTACCTCTGAGCATTGATCCACACTTGATTTCTTACCGTTGAGTTTTACCGGCTCGCTTGGATCTGAGCTACCTCCACCGGATTTTTGACCATCCAAGGCCGGAGAAGTTCGCTTACCGATCCCGTCTTCATCCGCAGAATATTCCGAATTTGATGATACGAACTCCATCGCCTCCTCTGACTCTTCCTCCTCTTCATCATTAATACCTTTGCACACAACACACTTAAACCCCTCTTCCATCCATTCTTCCTCTAACGATACCATGAACACTCATCCATTATTTTTAACACTCTGAGTCATGGTAGCTTGGGATGAAATTGGAAGTCTGATTTTTAGCCTTGTATAATCCAAGCGTGTCCACTTTAAGGTTTTCTCATCCACCTCTAACAACATTCCCAACACAGACACAACATCCTCGAAGGTTTTTTCGGACCATAGAGCTATCGGGATACCTCTACATCTAGCCCACACATGTTTGTGCTCGCTCACCAAATTTATGTCCCATCTTATTACAGAAGTGAAGAGCTTAGAGAAACACTGAGAGTTTTCTTCCAAGATTCTTGTTAATGCCTCCACCGAGTCTCCACTGAGGAGAAAAAAGTTGTCTCCCATTCCCTTGACGTAGACATTGAATAATCCTTTTAGATACAGGTTGTTCTCAATTTCTGACTTTCCTATCCTCTTGCCGCTTCCACTATGAACCTGTCTTCCATCCATTTCTGGACATTCTCTTCCACCTTCAGAATTCTTCCCCTCCACGTTTCATCCGTCGTTGTAATTTCCTCTTTCCCTTTCACCACGTTTGCAAAAGACCGTTGACCACCTTTCCTCCTCCATTCCTGCTTAACTGTTGGTTATTTATTTGGCCGAAACAGTTGTTGTTCATATCTCCTATATTTTGGTATGTTGACATGCATCTTTGTAGAACCGATCCAAATACCATCTAGATTTCTTTTCATTTGCTTGATTCACAAAACCAAAAAGTTGACCAGCTTTGTTTCTTTTATAGGATATGAATATGTCAATGACCCTTCCCCACCTTGAGAAGATGTTCCATACGTCTTTTACCCCGAATGACTCTGAGAATTTGGAGAAGAAGAACGAGGTGCCTTTTTCTTTCCATCTTTCTCTGAAAATAGGAGCTTGACCGAGAGAACGAGAAGCATGGTTATAGCCAAAACCTCCTTCAACCTCCACTACCTCTCCCCGTGAGCTACTTCATCAAGATCTCTCTCCTCGCCGCGTTTCTCTGGATGGCCTTCATACCCCAAGCCCCGCGCTTTCAACTAACGTCCCTCACCGTCACCTCCCTCGCCACAAACACTGGCGCTGAGCTAACAGCGACGTTCAACGTTAGTGCTGTTCTCGGGAACCCCAACTTCGCGCTCTCCGTCTGCTACGAGAGCCTCCGCCTTGCGCTCCTCTTCGACAACCTCGTCACCCTGATCCAACCGCTCCCGTTTTCCACCGCCGCCCAGACCGAAACCCTGGTCCGAGCCCAGTACGCGGTCGCTCACAGACTCTTCCCCGACGGCGTCGTCAGAGGAATCACCGAGCAGTGTGTGATCACAGAATGTGGTTGAAAAAAATATGCTTTGTTGGAAGAACAATCTACGTTGTTTTGACAAGTGTCCTGTGAAAATGATGTTGCATATGCTGAATTGTAATCTAATAAAAGACAAGTTTGAATTTTGAATCAAAATTTGAGTTTTCCTCTTAAAGAGTTTTACAGTGTTTTGAGCTATATGAGTTCATATTTGATCTTATCAAGTAACTTGTGGAGATTAACCTGTAAATTATCACTCACCTTCTTAACTTTCTTGAGTATGGTGTCAATATTGTTTTTCAAACTTGATATAAAAATGATCTCATCTCTATATTCGCATCAATTGATATCAGAGTTGTGACTCTTGATATTTAGTGAGTATTTTTCTTTTAGTTGAAACTTTTTTACTTGTCACAAATACAAGTGTTAAATCTGCTTCACAACTCAATGCATATCTCAAATCATTTATTGATGATTTTGCTACATTTGAAAGGGAGTTTTGAGAAGAGGAGAGAAAAAAAAAAGAAAGAAAGTATACAAAGATAGAGAGAGAATGTTTGATGAGTATTGGAAAGATATGCAGTAATTATAATAAGAGAGAGGGAGAGGGAGAGGGAGAGAGAGAACTTCAGAAAAAGGAAAATAGAAAAAAGAAAAGAGTTGGAAAAAACGAAAATGAGAGAAAAAGAAATGAAAGAGAGCGAGTTCAGAGTAAAGAAAACGAGAGAGAGAGAGAGTTGAGACAAAAAGGAAATGAAAGATAGAGAGTTTAGAGAAAAAGAAATAAAAGAGTTGTGAGAAGAACGATATAAAAAATAAAAGATACAAGAAAAGAGAAGAGAAAAAAATGGAAGAAAAGAAGTGAAAGATAAAGAAAAAGGTAAAAATAATATTAGAAATATATTTTCTTATTCTACAAATATTATTGTTTTTTCCATATGGGTAAGGAAGGGTTTTTTATGTGACGTTGGAGTAACTCATCATCTGGTATCAATGAATCAACGGTGTACACATTCTAGTTCTTGAATGAAAAACTAGTGAAATGAATGTTTTTTTTTTATCCTAGTATTAATTTTTATTTCTCTCAAAAAAAGTGTAGTAAAAAAATTATACGACAAATGTTCTTGAAAAAAAGGGAATGATATGATTTAAAGAGATCAATAAAATTTAATTTTTTTTTTTTTTTGAGTTTTCTTTTTGAGAAAGTTTTATGATGTTATGAGTCATATAAGCCCATATTTGATCTTATCATAATAACATGTAACAATCAATTTGATGACTTATGGCTCACCTTTTCATCTTTCTTGAGTGTGGTGTTAGTATCATTCTTCAAACTAAATATTAAAGCCATCTTATTTTCACTTTTGCATTATATATAGAAACAAATTGAAACTATAAATATTACAATTAATTATACATGAAATATTTATAATATATTTTTATTAAATAATTATTTTATCATAATATGTTTAGCAAATTTATAATGAAAAAAATAAAAACACTTGCCCAAACCAAACTACAAAATATTGTTTTGGTTTGATTTTTTTTTTTAAATGAAAATCAAAGCAAATCAAATTAAATTTAAATTTTATGTTTGGTTTAGGTGACTTTTTACAAAACTAAACTAAACTGTACAAAGAACACCATTACTCATAGTTCTCAAATGTAACTAAACATTTGTCAATTCTCTCGTAGGATGATAACTCCTTTATTCTATTGGACAATTTTGATGTGACATATTTTCTAGTAGTTTAAAAAACTTGGACTTTTGTCTTGCTTTTTACCTTCTATTATGACGGCTTCTTGAAATTCTTCCCCATTACCTCCTTCTTGGTTTTAAACATTGAGACACTCAAGCCAACTCCATTATCATGAATATTGAACTCTGTGGAAGATTTTGGAGCTTCTTGGTCCAAATTGAGGTTTAAACTTCCACGAATAATGTTATGCTTCTTCTTGATAGTAACATGTCTTTGAAATGCACAAATGTCCTAGAAAATGCATTAAGAAGAAAAAATAAGTTATGTCTTCATCTTCAAGCTTCACATTAATGTTCTCAAGATCATCCAATAACTTGTTATAATTGGTCATTTTCTCTACATTCTTGATTTTGTCGTCTTAAATGAATACAATACATTTGTTGCTTCAAACAAAGTTTATGTGCCAAAGATTTTTTCGTATACAATTACTCAAGTTTCCTCCGCATTCATTGGAAAGTTCTTTCCATCATGACTTTTCTTAATGCCTTATCACCAAGACACAAAATTATGGTACTCCTAACCTTATTAACCATTTTTTCTCTTTCTCTATCAAGGAAGGTGACACATTTTTCTCACCCTTTCACCAGACCCTTGTTGTATCAAGATAACTTACACCTTAATCCTCCATGACCCAAAGTCATTGTATTTGGAGAATTTATCAACATCAAACCTAGTGATAATCTCTACAATCATCTTGGTTTTCTTTCTCGTTTCCCACAAATAATGCTAATTGTTAAGATCACAACAATAAAGAATAGAAAAATGGGAATGAGAGGAAAATAACTTTATATTAATTACACACAATTATAGAATAACTACTAGGCCATCTAACCACAAACCTAATTAATGGTTAATCAGACGACATGTCCACTAAACTACTTTGTACCAGATAATTTGATGCTCCATTGGATCATCTAACCTTCTTTATATTGTGTACAAATCAAAATATCTACGTACCATCTACTATCCAATTTAAATTCTAATGTTGAAGTATGATTTTGGATTCATCTTCAGATTAACATCATTGGCTAAATCACATCCATGTATAAACTATTTAAATAGTAACTATTTTTTTTAAAAAAATTATTTGTGAGTTTATTGTACGCACATTTTAGTTTAAGATAATTAAAAAATTGTAAAGATTAATCAGTCAAAAAAATAGTTTAGTTGTTAGTTATGTTTTAGTTGATTACTTTAATTTCTAAAATATATATTAGATAATATCTTCATTATAATTCGTTAAAAAAAAAATTGTAGTGGGCATGTTGGATTAAAATGCAGTTACATCATACAAAACCATGTGTGGATATACAATTTTATTATCCTCTGAAAATTTGAATACTTAAATTTAAATTACTTTTATTTTAATTGTTTTATTTCTTAAAAATATTTTATTTGAATAAATTAATTTAAATTTATTAAATTTTAATTTTATATAAGGTTGACAAAATTTTTTAAATTGATGTTGATAGAGATCGGTGATTAAAAATTGTTTTGGCTAGCATGGCCAACACAATCTTATTCCAAGTTGGTGGAAAGTGTTTTACCAAGGACAAATAATAATATTAGTGACATCAATAGTAAAAGTATAATTAATATAAAAAATCTAGCTAACATTTGCGAAGAATAACCTTCAAAGACTAAGAAAATTTTGATTGAGAAATATCCTTAATTTACATTTATAGAAAAATAAAATAGAATGTCAACCCAAAAAAATAATCCCAATCAATGCATTGGTTAAATGAAAAAACATTGACTAACACTAATGTTAGTAAAATAAAAGAAAAACTTTAGTTAACTTAGATCGACAAATAACCTTGACTAACGTCAACTTTAATAAAATAAAAAAGTTTCACATAAGCTAAAAAATATAAGTGATACTATTGATATTAAGAAAGAAATATTTGACTAACGTCAATTGAAAAATAAAAATATTTTACAATGTAAAAAAAAAAATTATGGTGATGTTCACCAAAAAATAATTATAATCAATTTTAGCAAAAATATCCATTAACATCACTCTAAGTATTGGAGTGTTGAAGTAGTATAAATAATAAAACATATACCTCAACAGGTGAGGGAGGAAGGAGGAAGAATAAGTATTGTGAAAATATCGAGTAAGGAGTCCAAATTACTCAAAATATTGATCGAGGTATCTTGCTAAAAATTAGTTAAATCTTTTAGCATGTTATGTAATGAATCGAAACGAGTGAAAAATAAATATACATAAGAGACAATTCATTACCTTATTTTGTTTTGAGGAACCTCAAGAGAGTTACACTTTATCATTATCAGAATCAGAATCGATGATAGTTATTCATACAAGGGAAGGAATATTGGTAGTCAAAGTTATTGATCTATGCAAAAGTTAAACCCAGAGTTAATTCCACAACCTATTTTTCCATAAAAACACTAAGTTGCTGTTGAAGGAGGTGTAGCTTTTGATTTTGGGGTTTTTTTTTTTTTTAGTTTCAAAGTAATATTTACATGTTAGATAAAAAATCTAACATTAAAAAAAATATAATTGCTAAAATTTTCAAGGAAATCAATCATACTCGGATGTGGGACAAATCCATGAATCTTTCTTTTCTTGTCGATTTTAGAAGATGATGATTCAAGTTGCATGATTTTAATTTCTATAGTTTTTACTTTTGAGTCGTGGATCTTTATTGTGGAACAAGCTGAAAATAAAAGAATCCAAATTAAGGATAACCATAATCTAAAAAAGACATTATCATAGTCTCGATAAAATTGATCGAATGATACACTTTGAAAATAGTTGATGTTTATCTTGCTTGACCTTTAATTTGTCTTGTATCTAAAAAATTGAGTTGTTATTTATTTAGTCTTGGTTTTATCTCATCAAAAAATGTATATTATTGATCCCGCCACGACTAAAATTCAAAAGTGCACAAAAAATTAACTTCAAATGGAATTGGATGGAACTCAATAGTTTCTTGTGGAGTGAATCAAATAAACTCTTTCTTTATGTTTGATTCATTTAAGGTGACATCCATTGGGATGGCTCAATAATATTAAGATGTTATAAACACTTAGCTTAAACCAAATTATCGAGAGAAGTTTTGAGGGGTATAAGGACAAAACTTAACACCTTTAAATTGAAAGCCAACTACTAAAATATCCCAAATAAAAAAATTATTCCAGACTTCGATTAGTTCTACCTGTAGTCCTGGAGTTGATGGTGGAAATCTTGACCTTAGCCAACATTATCTCAAATATTTTCTAGCCCATTGCCGATGTTGGAGAAGGGGGCAAG